TAAAATTTAAAATTGTTTAAAAAATTAATCCAAAGATAAACAAGATTAACTTACAGGCGTTGATGATCTGGATGTTTTACGCCTTTGAAACCCCAACAAACAAATCTACACTATTTTACTTATATTTGGTATTACACACTAGCGGATCCAGGATTTAATTTTGGGGGGGCTTCAGCCCGAAAGCTTTTTTTTTCTCATATAAATAACGATAATTACTTTGGAAAATAATAAAGAAACTAACTAACTATATGAACTGGTGTTTAAGTGATTCCTAAACCCCTTTTAAGTGTAATTACACGAATAATTATGTTTTAAGAGATAATTTTTTAATATTTTTTTTAGATAAAACATGGTTATATTTTACCATTTTGAGGGAGGCTTTGAGGGAAAGCTCCCCCTCCCCCGTAGATCCGTTCGTGGTATTACATTAAGCTGATATATAACATATGTGTGTCATTCTTATATTATTTGACCATTTGATGTCCCCGGGCTTTACAATTGTTTTTCACATGTTTTTCAGGTTGCAAACAAAAATTAATGGTATTATTTTATTGAATTGTTTCTAAGTAATGCATTGGTGACCTCAACCACAAGAAGAAATATTCCTACGTGATTATAAAAAAAACATGACAAATGTTACTGTCACCAAGGTGAGGATGCGAAGTTCTCCATGCTTTGACCTAATATGTATCCATTAATTTTTAAACATGGCGAATTTTACTGTTATATGATGATATTTCGAATTATAGATACCTTTTTTTAGCTGTCTCAAATACTTTGATTTTAAATTAGCAAAATTGATTTGCCCCCTAAAAAAGGCTCATTTAACATGACGGAAAATAATTTTAAAAATCTGTTTGTGCTGTCAGCTGTAAGTCCATGTGTTAACTTAATGCATAAAAGAGCTGACTGGAGAATATACATTTTTTTCTTTTAAATGCTATGTCACAAAAATTATGCGTAACGAATATTACCATTATTTCACATAACATTATTCAATTGATATAATGGATAATAATTTAAAGTAAAATAAGTAATTTAGAGGCATTTACTAATGGTTAAGGCTTTATATATATATATATTTTTTTTTTTTAATTTCTTAAAGACATTTACAATTGTATTAAATAAATACATCTAGTAAATTAGAACATAATGTATATAATGACATGAAAAACACTTGCTGAGTAACCACACAATGGTAGCACTCTAATGATATGTTTACATTAGGAGATCACGGGGCCATCTTCTTTTCAGACGCATCGGAGGGTTATCAGGAATTGAAGAGGAAGCAAGGCTAGAAACGAGAGGGTTGGGATGATTCTGAAGTTTATTATGGAAGGATAGGTATCTGGATTGGGCCAGATCTGAAACAAAAGGAACATTAAGGTCATTATGGATGGTTTTATTTGTAACAAAGTAAGAAGCATTGAGGATTTTACGGAGTATTTTGGATTTTAAGGATTGGATACGAGAGTGATTCGATGGTTTAGTGGAGCCCCATAGCTCAACTCCGTAAGTCCAAATAGGCCTTATTGTAGTCAAGTATATGAGTCTTTTGTAATTAATTGGAAGATTAGAGCGTTTGTCTAGTAAGTGCTAAAGTAATCGGAAACGTCGAGCGGTTTCTTGTCGTTTCAGTCTGGTATGAGGATTCCAAGTTAGTCGTTTGTCCAGGTGGAGTCCTAGGTATCGGAGTTGCTCAACAGGGATAAGTGGAGTATTGTTAAAGGAAACTGTAGGACAGGAAGTTGTAGGTTTACGACGAAGGGTAAAGGTAATTTGGTGGGATTTATTTGAGTTTATTTTAATTCTCCAGTTTTGACACCATTCTTCTAGATTTATGATGTGTGATTGAAGCATTTGGAATGCAATTGCTGGGTCATTATTTATTGATAGGATACATGTGTCATCGGCATATGTGGTGATGACAGTGTTGGGATAGGTTATGGTGTCAGCTGTATAAACTGTAGAGAGGATAGGACCTAGGATACTACCTTGAAGAACACCAGAGGACTGGGAACATATATATAATTAACATTTGATTAAATCAGTTACAGCGATTTTGTATAAAAACGAATGTTACTATTATTCGTATAAATTTAATACCACTTATTTCAATTGTTCCGACTACAAATTAATCATATGATTGTTTTCATTATAAAAATCTGGTGCGCTCAACACACATCTTTAAATAGAAATTATTTTCTGGCCATGTTGGGCTATAAAAAAAATTTTAATTGCATTTTTAACCGAGCTAAAGCTAAAATATTATAGCTAACAAATTATAATTACCATTACAATAACAAAAGTCCTATTTAGCAATCACCGGTAGAATAGGGATTGCACAATCCGTTGATTATGGATTGTACGACTATTAGTTATTAAACTGTTATTTTCCATTGCAAAGAGAACTAAAACGGAATTAAGAGATTTGCATTGTCTGTCATATACAGGTCAAAAGTTGTCACACTAATTGTAAGTGGATACTGTTGGAATATCACAAAAGAAAATTTCAACAAACTAATCTATCCACTAATTTATTTTTCTAAAAGGTTACATGATGATTTTTCGGAATAAACGGACGATAAATAGCTAAATATTTAAATATAATCTCAGATCCAGAGTTATTAACCTATTATATTTAACCCTTAGTTATTAACCCTTACTAAATATATTTAAGATTTTAAACGTATCTATGAAATATTTTTCACACAAATACAATGACATAATAGTGGATACTGTTGGAATATCACAGAGGGAAGATTCATTAGATTATTTACTAATTTAATTATCTAAAATGTTACATGACAATATTTCGAAATAAACGGACGTTGACACCTAATTATTTAAATATAATATCGGATCTAGGATTACTAAACTGTAGTAAATGTATTTAAGGTTATAAACATATGTTTCACACATTCATGAAATGGTTTTATATTTTACTTCTTCTTTCACAAAAGTACAATGAAATAATTTTTTAAACAATGTCATTGCGTTGATTAGGTGGAAATTGAAATACTTTTTTCAAGCTTAAAAATATTTTAAAAGTTTAAATTTAGTAAGTAAATTTCATTTAATTTCCTTGAAAACATGTGATTTACGTTTAAAATTATTGGTTTTCAAAAATTATGATTTATAATTTTTTTGCCACTTTCCGTTACGTTCTATAACTTTCTATATTATAAATTGTTTTTTCTAAAATTCACCGCTTTCCAACGATATATTGTACGTATTACTTCTGACTAGTATTTCCGGAGATTCATTTTCGACCTGAATAAGGGTTTTATTTTTTTTCTCCTTTATTCAATTATCAAATTATTTCAAAAGTTATATTTAGCACTTTTTTGTAACTTATAATAATGAGATATAGTTAATTATTTAAATTAAACCATATTAAAGGTACTTTAGAGAAAGACGCATAGGAACATTGGGCATTTAAGCCCTGTAAAGTGATATCAACGGGGATACGACCTAAATGATATTATATAATTATACATACTTAATTATATACTTAATTATACAATGATATAAAATCCTTAGAGCCGTTTTTGAGAAAATTGTAAAAATGTGTTTCAGCGTTGATATAAAGTGGCACTTCCGGTTAGCTAATTTTAAATAAAAAGTTGCTGTCACATTTAAGCCATATACCTATCTTAAATACGTAATATCAGTTTCGTACGACTTTTCGTTTTTGAGCTAGACTGCTAAAATACATAGACACACGAACCATTTTTGGGACTTGGTCATTTGGACTCAGGTTACCCCAAAATATGTATTTCCTTTGAAAAATCAGATTCAAAAATGTACACGATTGCATTACTTACCCTTATTATATATAACATATAGATGTAAGTGAAAGTAAAAATTTAGATAACAGGATGAAGATTTTAGTTATTTCTCTTATAGGCTCTGATGATAGAAACGAAAATCATAATTTTGTTTTTAAGTTTTCTCATAATTTTGTTTTTAAGTTTTCTCAACAGATGGGTATAAGTGGAGTTTAATACATAATTAATATAATGAGGAAACGCCCCATTGTTTTTCGACTTTCCGGGAATAAAAATTTTGTACGTTACGATAAGATGAAGCTTTTCACGAAGTTTCAGGCGAATGTTAGTAATTTGATAAAAAGGGGTCTGTACCACGGAATGCAATAAAGTATATTTAAAGCATAGTTAAAATTTAAATAATTATTGAATACATGTAGCACCTTTGTATAGTGTGTAAATATATATATAAATGAACATATGGCTTGCCAATAGAAATAAAGATCAAATAATGATCGTGCCATCTGACGAATGATGATGAATTAGCTCTGTGGATGTAAAATTTATAATCGATACCTGTTCCTAGCGGGACCATCGCCCACGGATTGAAATCGATTCATATTACCTAACAACTGGATCTTTAGAGGTAAAAAGTATATAAATACTCCACAAGGTGGTGTAAAACACCTTCATTTTGGGATAAAAAACATCGTTCAAATCTCAAATAGTGTTCATTATTTACGTATCTTCTTATTCTGAATCGAATGAAATAAAAAGTAAACCGATAGCTTTACCAGTTTTTGTCATTATGACTGTAAATTAAAAAAAAAATCTGAATAAAAATAAATCTAATGACTCAACTTAACATTATTAAATAAAAACTGACTTAAAAATGTTTAAATATATAGATTTATAATAATTATACTATTTTGATTTAAAGGTTCAAGCAAAAATATATATATTTTTTAAGTCGACAATATCCATTGAAGAAATATCCTTATTTTAAAATCAGTAATATTTTTGTGTTTTATCATGTTTTTACCAAATTATCACTTGAAGATTATTATTTAAAAAATTGACTAGGTTTGAGCTCAGTTGAAAATTGAGGTTTTATTTTTATTCTTCTTTTATTGTTTATTTATAGTATATAATGAAATACATATGAAAAAATATAATGAAAATACAAGTTTTGTTTGTAAATGTTAAATAATATCTTCTCTTTAATTAACCCCACTATTTATTTTAAACTGAATACATACAATCAATGCATAGTAATTCTATAATTAATATTAAAAACATGTTATATAGGAAAGTTATTATTAGGTTATATTTTACAATGCAACTAATATTAACAAGTTTATTATTAGTAACACAGAATAATTTGGAAAAACATTTATTTTCTTTATATTAACAAAGCTGTACATAAAATAAATATTATTTTCTTAGATTATTTCTTTCCAAAAGGTCTATTTAAGAAAACGATGAAAGAAATTTTAAAAATTAAATCCATACACAGTCAGAAATATATAATATACAAATTCATTCAATATACAAATTATGATATGGCTATGTATATGTTTAAAATATGTTCATTATTTGATAGTAAAACAAAATAAAATGTTAATCTATTTATCAAAACGAAAATGGAAATAAACGACACTTGGAATATATACTAGTTCAGCAAAAATGAAATAATACGTTATAAAGGTAAAATAAATAATATCAAAATAAAATAAATATATTCTAATAAAATAACATACGAAATAGAAAGAAATTCTCGTAAGGCTTTTTAAGTATTGACATTTATGAAATGTTTGTTCCTATATCTAAAAACGTGGTGAATGAAATCAAACACTCATATAATAATACTTTGGCTGTGGCTTAGAGATGATGTCATTGTGACCAATGGATTGTTATTTTCATTTAACAAGCCAATTGACCAATCATTTGCTTTAAGTTACGTATTTATGTCCTCTGAATAGTGGTTACTTATTGTTCATATTTCATTACTTTGTTATCTCTTACAGTCTTTATTTTGAACTATTAATATCAAGAGCGATTGTATAAACTCTAAAATAATGAGTGTATCTGCGAAAATTGTTCGAATATTGAAATTCTTTGCATTTTTCGATAATTTAATTTAACATTCCATGTTTCAGAAATATTTCTTTTTTCTATTTAATGTTACTTTAATTTATGGCAATGTCAAAGTATAATGAACAAAAAATAAATAATTTTTTTTATTTATTTAAATTTCCAATTGTAGGTAAATCTGTTACAGGAATATATATAATAATAAAAACTCGTGAATAAGCTACCGATTGGTAACACTTCAAAGGTTAAATTAATTGAAAAGATCCCTTTCTCTTCGGTGGGGGGTCAGGAATTGTATTGGATGAAAAGTTATTTAGAGGATTGGGATGACCAAAGAGTTTGGAATTAAAAGAGGAATATCTAGTTCGGGCCAAGTCTTCAACAAAAGGAATATTGAGGTCTTTATGGATAATTTTATTTGTGACATAATTAAGAGCTTTTAGGGTTTAACGGAGGATTTTGGATTGTAAGGATTGTATACGGGAGGAATTCGAAGTTTTTGTCCAGCTCCAAAGCTCGATTCCATAAGTCCAAATAGGCCTGATGATGGTAGTGTAAATGAGATTTTTGTAGAATACTGAAAGTTTAGAGCGTTTGTGAGTGATTGTTGAAGTAATTGGAATCTGTTGGCAGTTTCTTGACTTTTCAATCTAGTATGAGAATTCCAAGTAAGGCGTTTGTCAAGGAGTCTTAGGTAACGAATTTGTTCGACAGCGATCAGTGGAATATTGTTAAAGGATACGAAAGGACAGGATGTTGTTGCTTTACTGCGAAGGATAAAATAAAAAAATAATATTATAAAAAAACCTTTAACCTAATTTATTAAACTGACATTTTTATAAAAATTGTATTTATTCACACCACTCTTAGACTGGTTAGATTAGTTCACACCACTCTATTTCTTTAGGTGAATAAATGTAACGAAACTTTCCTTTGTTTACGTTAAAAGAATAACGTATTCCCGACTTCGTATCAGGTAACCGTTTTACCTGTATTGAAGTCTGCTTATCCAAGTTAGGTTGCAAAGGATTTGATATCTTTAAATAATACGACTCCGTGATGTTTAGTTGAGTAGCCGAAAGGTATCCTATAACCTCCTGGTGTCCTTTCCAAGAGGCAGCGTAGTTTAATCCGGTAAATCCCCATTTATCTTCTTTTTCTTTGTTTAAAAGGGATTGGCAAAGGAGTTTCACAACTTCTAAGTGACCTCTGATAGCGCTGCGGTGCAAAGCAGTCCTTTCATAGATGTCGGGCTGAATAATTTCGACTCCAACCTGCAAGAGCAAAGCTACCACCTTAGAATGCCCTTCTCTCGATGCTAAAAACAATGGAGTTTCTTTATTAATGTTCAAAGATATACTTTGACTTGAATCAATTCTCTTGAATGATCCTGTCTCAAATAACTGAAGTATTACATCATAATGGCCGAACAATGCTGCGTAATGGATAGGTAGATTAAGAAAAAAATCCCTACTTAATCGGTCTGCTCCTTTTTCCAGTAGGAGTTCTACGACTTCTGAGGAGTTGTCTCTCGATGCAATATGTAATGGAGTCATTTGGTTGTTGTCCCTTGCTTCGATATCTGCTCCACTTCCTAAAAGATTCCAAATAATCTTTATTGTTTGTTCACTGGATTTGTTGCTCCATTCACATACCAGATGTAATGGGGTGCTACCGTTTATGTTTCTACTATCGACGAAATCATTGAACTTTGTCATCTCCCAAACTACTTTAGAGTATCTTTCTCTTGCGGCGAAATGCAATGGTGTCATACCATCAATGTCAGCAGAATTTTTTTCAGCTCCGTTCTTTAATAAGATAGCCACTATTTTCTCATGGCCCTCGCGTGAAGCTAAATGCAGTGGAGTTTTGAAATCTTTAATTTTAGCTTCTTTATTGGCACTAAGATTCAATAACAACTCGGTTATTTCTAGAGATCCGTTCATAGCTGAGAAATGAAGAGCTGTGTATCCACTGTTGTCTGCTTGGTCTATGGCTGCTGGTGGATCGGAAAGTAGTAATTTAACAATTGGAAGGAGACCTTTACTGCAGGCGATGTGTAGGGGAGTGGTGCCGTTGATATCGGCAGGACTTTTGTTGGATCCAGAACTCAATAGCAGTTTTACAACTTCGACATGATCATTCTCACATGCGTAATGGAGTGGTGAATATCCCATTCTATCTCTAACGTCTAAAGAAGCTTTGTATGATATCAATGGTTTGACCAGATCCACAAGACCGTAGTAGGAAGCAACGTGCAGTGCTGTCACATTATGGATCTGTATAACATCGTTCAGTGATGTATGAACCTTTACGTCACTATCTGCATCCAAAAAAGTTTGAAAATTCTTCTTATCAATTTTCCTCGATCCTGTTTCTAAAATTAATTCAACGAACTCAGTACTTCTTAGTATAACTGCTAAAGTAAGGGGGAGATTTCCATGAACGTCTTTCTCCACAACGTCTGCTCCGTGAGAGATGAGCAGGTCGATGCCTTCTGAATACATCATCCCAATGGCCTGGTTAAGAATAACTGTCGGATAGGAATCGAAATTTTTACTGTTATCTAACAGAAGCCTTGCTATTCCTATAGATTTATTTAAAACGGCATCGAAAAGAATTTTTGATCCTAAGAAACTATTATCTTCCACTTTTGCTCCACTTACCAGAAGTAACTTCATAATTTCTTCAGATAAAGGATCAAAAGTTAAGTCTAAAGGCGTTCGTCCGTCTTCGCTCATCACATTTGGATCAGCATTATTATAAAGAAGAAATTTAATAAAATCAGTTTCATTTCTTTTTATTGCTAGATGCAGAGCTGTGACGCCATTACAACCTTTTCGATTGACATCATCCCCGTTATCTAACAAGGTCTTTATCACATCAACATTTCCATTATTTGCTGCCCACTGGAATGGTGTGAAGCAAACATAGTCTTCGATACTGAAACTAGCGTTCTGTGAAAGCAGGTAGGCAACAACTCGGTTATAACCTAAAGCAGCAGCTGAATGGAGAACTGTTTGTCCAAAATAATTCTGCGAATTGACTTTGGCTCCGTGTTCCAGGAGGGTCTGCATTATAAGGACTGTTTTATTTTCAATGGCGAACGTTTCATTGCGAACAATTTTTACTTCTTTGGATAATATTTCCACACATTTTTTTTCGAACTGCACCTTCTGAACTGCAAAATGTAAAGGTGTATTGCCATTTTCTCCTTTAAAGTTAACATCTACACCGTAATGAAGAAGCATTTTAATGACTTTAATATTTCCATTACGAACTGCAAAGTGTATTGCGCCATTGCCAACATCGTCCTTTATTTCTAAAGAAGCATTTCTTGAAATAAGTAAATTAATCATAGCTTCATCACTGTTCGAAACAGCTTTCATCAAAGGTGTCACTCCGTATTTTATCTGGATATTGGCGTTAGCCCCGCCATTGAAAAGGAGTTTGGCTTTGTTTATACTCTTATCATCCACTGCTATATACAAGGCAGTACCACCATACCTGTTCTTTATATCTACACTGGCATTATTTGACAACAATAAATACACCATAGTTTCATCACCATACGAAACAGCGTCCATCAAAGGTGTTTTTCCGTCATATCTTTGGCCATTGACGTTAGCCCCGTTATCTAGAAGAGTTTTGACTATCTTTATGTTATTTTTTTGTATTGCGTAATTCAAGGCAGTTTCACCATACGTGTCCTTTATATCCAGAGTTGCATTCTGTGACAACAATAAATACACCATAGCTTCGTTACCAATCGAAGCAGCTTCCATCAGAGGCGTAATTTCATGACTTCCCTGGGCATTGACGTCAGCTCCATTATTAAGAAGAGTTTTAGCTATGTTTATGTTCTGTTTATACATTGCTAAATGCAGGGCAGTATCGCCACGGTAGGTCTTTATATTCACACTTGCATTCTTTGACAACAAAAAATTTACTATAGCTTCATTGCTTTCCCGAACAGCGATCATCAAAGGTGTCACACTGATACCTCCCTTGATATTGATGTCAGTTCCATTATCAAGAAGAGCTTTGACTATTTTTATATTATCTTTCATTATAGCTAAGTGCAATGGAGAGAGACGTTCATCATCCATTATATTCACACTTGCATTCTTTGACAGCAATAAATTCACCATACCTTCATCACCATTCCAAGCAGCAATCATCAGAGGCGTCATTCCGTTATTTCCCTTGGCATTGACGTCTGCACCGTAATCGAGAAGTGTTTTGGTTATGTTTATGTTCTTTTCAGTTATTGCTAAATGCAAGGCAGAATAACCAATCTGATTCTTTATATCCACACTGGCATTCTTTGATAACAATAAATTCACCATAGCTCTGCTACCATTCGAAACGGCGGCCATCAAAGGTGTCTCTCCATCATACCTCTGGCTACTGACGTTAGCCCCGTTGTTAAGAAGAGCTTTGGCTATGTTTATGTTCTTTTTAGTTATTGCTAAATGCAAGGCAGTATTACCACTCCTGTTCTCTATATTCACACTTGCATTCTTTGACAGCAATAAATTTACCATAGCTTCATCATCATTCCAAACAGCATTCATCAATGCTGTCAGTCCGTCGTTTCCCAGAATATCGGGGTCAGCTCCGTTATTAAGAAGAGCTTTGACTATGTTTGTATTCTTTTTAGATAATGCTAAATACAAGGGAGAGAGATCATCAACATCCATTATATTGACACTTGCATTCTTTGATAACAATAAATTTACTATCGATTCATAGCAGAAACCAACTGCGATGAACAGTGGTGTCATATCAAAATTATTTTTAATATTGACATTAGCGCCATGATTTACAAGTATCTTAACTATATTCGCATGTCCTCCTCGTACTGCGTAATGAGTAGGAGTGTCCTTGCAATCGTCCAAAACGTTTATATTTGCGTTTTTTGATAACAACAAATTCACAAGAGATTCTTCACCCCGCGCCACGGCCAAATGTAAAGGTGCCTGACCATGCTGACCTTTAATATTAACATCGGCAGTGTCGTAAATTATTTTTTCAGCAATATTGGAAATCTCTTCTCGCAACGCAGTATGGATTGCAGCATCATCGTCAATATTTATGGGCCCGAGATATTCTAAATTTATTTTCTTCCATTTTTTAAAAATCCCATGATTATCAAACTCATCAATATAGGCATTTTCTTCACTATCACGTACTAGAAAATCATGTAACTTTGAACTACAACCATCTAGGTACAGGAGAGGACCGGACTGATTGAGCTGCTCACGGGAGATCTCCATTCCATCATTCTCCACCTGAAAGCATAGAAAGTAAATTAATGGTAATATATTTTTTTGTTTACAATTATTTGATGGCGCTATATTTACGAATAAAATATTATCAAATGGTTCATCTGAAATAGGACTGTATGATACCTTTAGGAAATATTTTGACACAACGTCGCAATAATATTTAGAAGGGTTTTTGTATACGTTTCATTATCATCAGGCCTTTCCTTTCGAAATGGATTGTCACCAATAAAATAATCCATAACGACCTTAATATTCCTTTTGTTTCCGATTTGGACCAATCCAGATACCTATGCTTCCATAATAAACTTCAGAAGCATCCGAATCCTCTCGTCTCTAACTTTGCTTCCTCTTCTATCTCTGATAACCCTCCGAGGCGTCTAAAAAGAAGATGGCCTCGAGATCTCCTATTGTAAATACATTTTTTTAGAGTGCTGCCAGTAGGCGATTTCTCAACAAGTGATTTCATGTTATTATTTTCTGTTATCAAATTTACTAAATGTATTTTATTTATTAATACAGTTGTAAATGTCATAAATAAAATTTTAAAAAATATTTCTTTAGTTATCGCTTCGTATTCAACAAAAAACACGACTCTATAGAAAAAACACAAAACTTAGATTTTCTTATTTTTCTACTGGTGATTTTTTATTGGTCCATTGTTTATATGAACTTTTTTGTAGGTCTTGAGATCTGCCATCATTCCTATCGAAATTTTCTTCTACTCACAAGACACCCTTTATAAGTAAAATATTTTTTAAATGGATTGCACCAGTGTAAAACCCTTCAATCCATTTAAATTTGGCTTTTAGTGAACTATTACGTTGATTCTATTTAACACGTCATCATTTGACACAACGTCGCGATAATATTTAGAAGTGTTTTTGTATACGTTTCATTATCATCAGGTCTTTCCTTTCGAAATTGCGGCCAAAACTTCTTTAACTATTTTAATGAAACTTGGCTGAAGTATTCCCCTTGAAACATTTATAATTTATATATATAAAACATACTTTCCCGAAAACAAGCTGCATAAATTTTTATGGTGAATTCAAACTTTTATTTGCGAATAACTCAAAAACTACACATTTTTTTATTGATAATACCATTATTTATTTGCAGGCTTTCTTGATTTCCTACAAAATGATTTTTAAAAAACTCATCGAAATCGAACTATTTGTATATATATATATATATATATATATATATATATATATATATTTTTTTTTTTTTTTTTTTCTCTTTAATTATTTATCCGCACCTGTCATGGTGTTGACAATCAGCAGATGTGTTCTCATGATGAGGATAGGCATTAAAGGCATGAGAAAGGATAGTACCCAGCAGCACCTCTTCGTAGTCATTATTTATTTTTTGATTTAGGTTACAAGATCTCTCATCCAGCTTCTTTTTAATCTTTACCTGATGGACATGTCAGTCGTAGCCATGCCGGTTATAAATCTGCTTGTGTGTCCGTGTAGTTTGAGATGAAAACGAGACTAGAGAGTACGTATATGTTGTTCTATAGTTGGTTGTTGCAAGTCGTTATGTAAAGTTTTGTTGTTGACGTACCAGGGAGCTCCTGTTATAAGTCGTAAAAATTTTTATTGAAATTACTGTAGTTTTTGTAAGTGTGTCTTTTTTGGCGAACCGTAAATCTAGGAGGCGTATGCCCAGATGGTTTTGAGTAGGTAAGTGTATGTATTTAGTTTTTGTCGAACTTTCAATTTCGATTTAGAAAAGAGTGAGTACAGTATTTTCAGTCGCTTGTTTAAGGTGTGTCGTTTCATTTTGACGTATGGGCCCCAGGTCATCCTTCTGTCGACGTACTGTGTTTGTCTGAGGAATTTGGTTCTCTCCTATATAAACTGGTGGGCACGTTTCTCATCAAAGTGTAAATGTTATATGCTGTGACTTGTCATGATTTAATCTTATTTTCCAAAGTGAGTACCAATTTTGTAAAGTCAGTAAATGTTTTTGTAAATTTATTGAGGCTAATCTGTGGTTATGGTGTTTTGTTAAAATTGGTGTGTCATCAGCGTAGGTGGCGGTCAATGTTTCGGAGTTGATAGGTATGTCGTGCGTATATATAATGTAGAGTAAAGGAGCCAGTATTGATCCTTGAGGTACTCCTGCTAACACTGGTCGAATTGAGGAAATTTCTAGGCCTTGTCGGACAGAGAAAAATCTGTCGAAAAGGAAAGATTGCAGAATGAGGTAATATGTGTCTTGAGTTTAAAGAGAAGTCCCTGGTGCCAGACTTTACAGAGATATCTCATTTTAAACATTTAGTACATTGTATTTTGCAAAGTCGATTTCCATTATTTTGTTTTTTGATAATCCGAAAATTTTACATTTAATGAAGTAATCTGGAATATTATTTGAAGATATGATGTTATTGGAATGTTTTAAGTAAATTCTAAAGTTGTGCTAATTCTTAACTTGAATACTGCACAAGCATTAGTTAATGAAACACGAATGAGAGTGAAGTACTAACGGGAGCTACTTTAAATTAAAGAATTTTAATTCCAAGAATTAATTTAAAATTTCCTGACACAATACTTACATTCGACTTTCAAAGAACAACGTTCCTATTAATAGCTGCATTTGCTATGACCATAATCCAATCGCAGGATAAACGATTTGAAAAAATGTGTGTATTATTGCGGCGTCTAGTAATTTCGCATGGACAATTATATTTAGCAGCAAGTAGAGCACGTTCATTTGAAATATTGAAATTTATATTTTCTATGGCAATGGTCAAGGATATGCACTAAACAACAACTGAACATTCAAAAAGAACAATGTCTACAGAGAAGTTCTGAATAAAAATGGATTTAAAGAAAATGGAAATTGTTAATTTAAATTTATTTTTATCATAAGATTAATTTATTGTGATAATAACACACATAAATTAAATATTTTTGAATGAGTCTATTTTTTATTACTTATAAATAACTTTAAGTAATTTAAGCTCGATTTTTAATTGAAATTGAATTTTTTTTATATTAATACATGATGATTTTTGAATCATGATTTACTCCTTATTTATTTCATTTATCTTTTATTTAATCATATGTTTTCCTCCAACTTTTAATGACTGTGGTCAAATTTTGACCACTGGGCGAACACTTGTATTATTGAATATGTTCATTGAGAAACAAAAAAAAAATTAATTATATTTATTTTCCTGAAAACTGGTCAAAGAAAAGATTTAAGTACAATTTTATAGATAAACTAAAGTAATGTGCAAGTTCAGACAAGCAAGTTATGAAAGAAAAGAAACTATATTTGCGAATAACTAAAAAATTACACATTTTTTGCTCATGCCAATGATTATATGAAAGATTACTAAATTCCCTACAAAAGGAAAAAAAAAATCATCGAAATCGGACAATTTTTAGCAAAGATACAGATTATTGAAATTTGTAAACATGTTGGTTGCAAACATTAATGAAGATTTAAATTAATTTTTGTTTCCTTTGTCGATTATATTTATGGATAAAGTAACAATTGATTTCTTTATCTTTCGATACGTTGCATTATTTTATTTTCTTAATTATTTGGCATTTGAAAAGAATATGCTGTGCGAATTTTTCGCACGGGTCTACTAGTATTTAAAATTACATTATTTACTTACAGGAAGAACGAGGTAGTAGAGACAGAAGAGCATACAGATGAGAGAGAGCGACATGACAAGAACCGAGATGCGAAAAGACATGTGAAGAACTGAATAATCAATTCAAGAGTAGTCGTATGAAGAACTGACTGCAGTCGTATATATATATATATATATATATATACATGTCATATCGAATACAGTCACCCAACTACTTCCCGTTGGTATCTTTTGATATGATAAAGGAGAAGGCATGATCGAATCATAATTTATTTTCCTCAACACATCACCAGCAGACAGAAACTTCAAGTAGGTTAGTATATTAGTCCGCGATGCAGACATCTTTTTATCAAATTATTAACATAAACCGTCTAACACTTCGTGTATGACTTCATATCATCGTAACCTACAGTTTTCCTATATATAAATTAAATAAACTAGCTGGTCCGTGCGAATAATTCGCATATAATGAAAACTTAAATATTAAGCTAGAAACATTAACTTTGTCACTTATAAATACACATCAATTCCAATGACAGAAATCTAGGAGAAAAACACAGTTTCACCACCACTTGCGAAATATTAAAAAAAATATTGTTTTTAAATTATTAATATTTATCAATAAAACGTGTTTTAGGCAATTATGTTTATAATAATACGGAAAACAAGATTTCAGTCATTTTTGCAGAAAACACGGGTACTTTAAGGTTACTGGATAGAAAATCACGCCATTTCTTAACACAACTTGAGGTGAATCTTAAATTTTTGCCTAACAAAACTCAACTTAATTAATACGAAATTTAAGCTTATTAAACGAAAACGTTTTTGTAAAAATGGGGTAACAAAAGTATAGTTGGTTGATGAACAAAAAATGGCGAATAATTTTGATTTTTCTAAAAAGAAAAACTTTGCTTAGTTTATCCGCTCAAAAGTCCTCCGTGAATGGTTTTAACAATGATAAACTCTATGTTCATTCAAAGTAAATTTTGTCTTTTTTCAATAAAGCTATTATTGATTACTTAAATTAAATATTTATTTCATACCAGACTGAAACGACAAGAAACCGCTCGACGTTTCCGACTACTCCAACACTTACTAGACAAACGCTCTAAGCTTCCAGTTAATTACAAAAGACTCATATACATAACTATAATAAGACCTATCTGGACTTACGGAGTTCAGCTTTGGGGGTCCACTAAGCCATCGAATTCCACTCGTATCCAATCCTTACAATCCAAAATCCTCAATGCTCCTTACTTTGTCACCAATAAAATAATCCATAACGACCTTAATGTTCCTTATGTTTCCGATTTGGACCAATCCAGATACCTATGCTTCCATAATACACTTTAGAAGCATCCGAATCCTCTCTTCTCTAACCTTGCTTCCTCTTCCATCCCTGATAACCCTCCGAGGCGTCTGAAAAGAAGATGGCCTCGAGATCTCTTATTGTAAATACATTTTGTTTTTAGAGTGCTACCAGTGGGTAGTTTCTCAACAAGTCATTTCATGTTGTCATTTTCTGTTTTCAAATTTACGTAATGTATTTAATTTTTTAATACAGTTGTAAATATCATGAATAAATAAATTAAAATAAAAAATCTTTGCGTAAATCTGGACTTCCAGTTCCGCTGCAAGACTCGATGACCGTTACCTAAGACGTCGTTCGACCCAGATCGGAAATTTCTGGCGACTAGGAAACGAAGCGAGGCCTGTAAGAGACAAATTGTCCTGTCGCCTACTACTCGATCGCTACGATTGGTCAACAGTTTTCTTCTAATTTTCTTCTACTCACAAGACACCCTTTATAAGTAAAATATCTTTTAAATGGATTGCACCAGTGTAAAACCCTTCAATCCATTTGAATTTGGCTTTTAGTTAACTATTTAACACGTCATCTGACAATTTAACATAATAAAACATTTTCGCAAAACTTTCCTGTAAAATCGGATGCAATGATATCGGAGCTCTTCGACCGGATGTTACGTATGATAGACCACAGGATGGGCAATGATAATGTTTGTCATTATTGGTAAATGAATGTATGAAATACATTTAAAAACAAAATAAACTTATAAAAATTTCTTTCAGAAAATATAACTATCCATAAAAATAAGATAATTTCTATCATTTTAAATGTGATGACTCGATCGTAAATTTATTATAATGGGCCTAAAATCGAACAATATTTTTAAAAAGAAATTGTAATTAATTATCTTAATCTGGAAATTTTGAAAATAATTAAATAATTACTAGTGCTAACAATATTGAAAAAAATATTTCAATCTTTTCAAGTATTCTAAAATTTGTATTGATTTCAGATAGTATTATATGTAAGATTTTGATCAAATGTGTTAAATATCAATTTTTAATATCAAAAAACTAGAAAGGTTTATAAAAAATTATTTAAAAACAAAAACCGGTACCCGTATCACACAATATTAATTTACCACTTTATAGTCCGTGGTACAGACCCCTTTTTAGCAAATTATTAACATCCGACTGAAACTTCGTAAATAGCTTCATCTCATCGTAACTTACAAATATTTCATTTACGAAAATTCTCGGAATTCCGGCGTTTTCAATCTGGAGATCGACAAACTTGTTCTATTTAATTAGGTACTAAAACTCGTAAATACCCATTTATTATATAACTGTATTACGTGACAAATACAGCAAGTAAATCTGAAAACAGTGACATGGCATGTACAACATGAAGAGAAATATACTTATTTATTTTTAATTTTTTTTACACAAAAAAAATTAAATTGAGAAATAGTAGTTAAGAATCTGATAAAGTTATAAGTGTTTTTAAGGATGTTGACATTTTTCTTTTCTTTTAGCGCTACCGCCGGTTAATCCGGAGAGCCGATTAAGCGGGAGTCTAGTGTAACTAAAATTAAAAACTACATAACGGAAATATGAGGCTTTCAATTGACAGAATGACTAACTCCGATTTCAATATTTTGATTATTAATTTTAATGATATTTCTAGTGGGAAAATTTATACCTTTATTCACAGTTCTATATTTCAACACTGCAATCACCTACTCTGGAATCAACTTATTCACTATCTGTACAGATATTAAGAATTTTCCAACTAGAAATATCACTAAAATAACTTAATTCAAAAATTGGCAATTGGAGTTAGTCATTCTGTCAACTGAAAGATTCATCAAAGGAATTAAGGTTATCTAATAGTTTAGAACAAAAAAAAATTGACGAAAATAAATGTCATTGAATTGAATTTAAATGTATTAACAACCATGAGGTATGTTTTTAAATGTATTCTATTTTTTTTTTTAATCATCACTACATTTAACATTAGTCCCTTTTTTTATGAAATTAAACTTTAGATAATTTAAGATTGAGTGGATAAACTTTAATCTAAGAATTTCTTAGGAATGAAAAAAGAAAAATATTTAATTAAAGGTCAATATTCAATTAATAATGTAATTCCAAAAGCATATTACAAATGACTTTAATAAAATAAATTTTAAATATGTGTTAGTCTAATATGATAAATATATATATATATATATTGCTATGTATTGTAAAGACCGTCGGTGGAATAATTAGTTTAAAGGTATAAACAAATAAACATTAAGGTAATTTAGGTATTACCTAAATATAAACATATTTAGGTATAAACCCAACATCTGGCGGTTGGGTACCTGAGGGAGGGTAACCCATTAGGACAACCTTTTGTAAGTGGTAATAAAAACCCTTAAGGACCACCGACAAAGACCGACAAGTGTTTAAACAGGATCCCGAAAGACCTTTTCACACCTTCCACCAGAAATACCTAAGTCTGTACCTGCTGCTTTACCTTGGCCTGGGGGAGAGGGCGTGGTCATCCCTTAGGTTGAGAATATTCAGCCAATCAGGAAAAAGGCTGCCAAAAGAGAGGGGGATGAAAAAAGGTGGGAGATAGAGAATTTGGACTGGACGCTTCTTTTGGGAACTCGGAGGAGAGAGGACTTCTTCTGGGAACTTGGAGCTGAGAGGACTTCTTCTGGGGACTTCAAGCGGAGGAGTCGAGGGAGGAAGATGAAGACAGCCGGAGAGAGCAGATGGACGGACTAGACGCTGAAGGAGAGCAGAGACAGGGAATCCAGATATGACAGCTAGAAACACTATGAAGGACCAGCTAAGTGGTAACAAGCATTTAGTTATAATAATGTAAATTTGTGTTGGCAACCATACGTCATTAATTAATAAAATCAATACATCAAGCATTCTCCTCTAATATGATTCTTAACTATTCATTATGTATATAGGTTTAGTTATTATTTTGTATATAGATATTTTTGGTTTTATTTAAGCTTGTAAATATAATAGTTCGTAAACCAACGTAGTACTTTTACATTCTACCTTGGATGCCACCAATTAGTAATAGAAACAAATAGTACATTTATAACATGATACCTTTAGAAAGGAAATCCAATAAAGAGTATATGGTTCAATCTAGGATACTACAGTAGGAGGTCTGTGGTATCTAACATTTAAATACAAATATAAGTATTAAATACATTTTAATACAAATAAATGCGATTCCTGGAACCCCTTACTCGCCGTAGAAACGCGAGGCCAGGAACATAGCATTTAAAATGGCATCCCATGTGAAGGACGTATCATTAAATTTACTATTTGTTTCTAAGATTAAATTAATAATTGATTTTTTAGAATTTCATTCCTATGATTAATAAAGGTGGCATTGTAATAAGTTGGTACTAAGAATCGTACAAGAGGGAAACATCTTTGATTTAATTTAATTTGGTTATTTGAATGTAATGAAGTTGGTTAGTTTGAGATAATTTAATATATATAAAATGATTGTTTAATGTAATGACTGTAAAACTTGATTGAGTGTTGTAACTTACAAAATTTAGTTAAATTCTTTCCTGCGTTGAGTTAAAAACTATGCTGATTCTGCGGTTCAATAATTTGTGTCAAACCTATTTTTAATATCGAAAAATCTTCACTCTCCTATTTAATGGTCTTGTATTAAATGTGGCTTGTTTATATTGCGGTTGATTATTAATGGGATATTTTTTAAAGGTATTGGGAATTATTTTTATGATAGCGTTTAACCCCTTCCT